TATATTATAAAACATATTATACAAAAAAAATATTTATTTATTCTTAAAAGGTAATAATGTCAAGATTTTTTTTTTAATAAAAACAAGAAATGATTTTAATAATAATTATTATTATTATACAACAATATTATAATAGTAACAATAAATAAATGAAATGCCAGCAACTTGCAAATGTCATATTTCAAAACCATGTCATCAAAGGTCTGTCAGTCTAAACACTTGTGCTTCGTGTCGTGGAGTAATAATTTCAAATTACCAATTTATTATTTGATTGAGAGCCTTTTCTAATTCTTCTACAATTTCAATATTTTCTGATGTTATTGCATCTATTTTACTGGTATCATTTTCATCTTCATTATTATCATCAATTTCTTCATTTAACATTTCATTGTTATTTTCTACTTCTTTTTCTAATCTATTAACATAAGATTTTACATTTGTAGTAATTCCATTTTCGTAAAACTCTAGACAATATTTACAATTTCTACCAATTGTATTATAACAATTCAAATGATATCCATGTCCACATATCAGCACCAAACCAGTAGGATCGTAATTACTCACAAATTTTTGTTTGCAATGATCACAACTATCAATCAATGGTCTAAATGAAGTGTGAAATGCTGTAGGTAAATTTTTTAATTTTACATTTTGATTTAGTGCTGCAAAATAGATCTTATTCTTGTTACTTATTATGGTCTGATTTTGTTTATTATATAGTGAATAAAAATATTTAATTAAAAATAAGCTAGCTCTATTGGTTAGATAATCTAAATTAGATTCTGTATAAGGGTATGTATTTAAAACTTTAAATGCATCAACTAAGATTTGTTCATGACCATCTAATCCCAATGCTTGTTTTATTATATTTTTAGATGAACTTTGTGAACTGGTATTAGCTCTTATATGACTATGCCAATTTTCAACATAATAATCATTAAAATTAACTAAATATTTTCTTATAGCATCATAGAATGGATGCTTATTGTCCTTCCAATAAAAAAAGTCAGACAAAAAAGCTAAAGGTAATTTGTTATAGTTTTTTCAATCCCATCTTAATGCAAAAGTCCACAGTCTAAAAATAGTTTCTACATATTCTTCACAGGAACCAGATCGAAAAATAATAGCATAAATATCCAATACTGCTGGAACTATATTATCTAACAAATCTATGGTGCTCCTATATTCTGTATCCTTACAACACCTTCCAAATTTTTCAATTATGTTGCTTGCTACTTGTTTCCAGCCTTTATCCATTAAATCTAAAAGAGTGTTTATTTTCCAAGGCATTGGTTTTTTTGCTAATTTTTTATTTTTTCCAAAATCAAATTTATATAGTTGTTCAAAAAAATTCCAATGAGTTGAAATTGTTGACTCCCTCATATTTAAAGAGACATGTAATGGTCCAAGAAGAGGAGTGGGGAATAACATAATTATGTTATTCCCCACTTAGTCTAGGTTATTCCCCCTCATCTGTGACGTGTGTTTTGCGTTTGCCTCGTCATTCGAGTGACGAACGTTTTGCGTTTGCCTCGTCATTCGAGTGACGTGATTTTTGCGTTTGCCTCGTCATTCGAGTGACGTGAGTTTTGCGTTTGCCTCGTCATTCGAGTGACGAACGTTTTGCATTTGCCTCGTCAAAGATGAGGCACGTAGTGCCGAATCGTTATCCTATTTGGTAACCCGAGGATGAGGCAAGTAGTGCCGAATCGTTATCTATTATGTTATCTTAGAATGAGGCATGTAGTGCCGAATTGTTATCCTATTTGGTGACCCGAGGATGAGGCACGTAGTGCCAAATCATTATCCTATTTGGTAACGCGAGGATGAGGCACGTAGTGCCGAAACGTTATCCTATTTGTAACCCAAGGATGAGGCACGTAGTGCCGAATTGTTATCCTATTTGGTAACCCGAGGATGAGGCACATAGTGCCAAATTGTTATCATATCCGTTGATACCCCAAAGCATAATTTTATATATTATATATCTTTCTGTAATAATTATACCTTGGGGTATCACTTTTTTTCGATGCCTATTTGTATGTAACCCCAAAGCATAATTTTATATATCTTTCTGTAATAATTATACCTTGGGGTATCATCTTTTTTCAGTCTTTAGCTGGCTTATATCGATACCTAAATCATACTTTTATATATTTCAGGATATCACTATATTGAAAACTTTGGAATATCACTATATCAAAAACTTTGGGATATCACTATATTGAAAACTTTGGGATATCACTATATCGAAAACTTTGGGATAACACTATCAAAAACTTTGGGATAACACTATATCGAAAACTTTGGGATATCACTATATCGAAAACTTTGGGATATCATTATCAAACATGTATCAAAAAACGTGAACACTATTTATAATCAGAAAATGAAACTTTGGGGTATCACTAATTCGAAAACTTTGGAGTATCACTTTTTTTGATATCTTGAAGTATTATTTTTATTGATACCTAAATTAGGCAACACAAAAATGGTTATCGAATACGTACCTTATATATCAGAAGCATTAATTTTTTATTTGAATTTTTTCTCATATTAATTGTAAGAGGCGACAAAAATCCCTTTACCTGAGATGAATGACTAGTTACATGTAGCAATCTCTCTGCTTCAGAAATTACTACTTAACTAGATTGTATTATCTTAAACAACAGTTACGCATATTCAATGAGGGCCAAAGAGCGGGTTTTTAATTCTTTTTTGTATGGAGTAGTAGGAACTTTCATTTTAGCTTCAAACTTCTGCTTATAATCCAAGAAATCCGCCTCACTCATACTCTCGCGCTCTTTTTTCCCCCCTTTTCCTCTCTAGTTCGGAAAAAGATTATGTGTTAAAGGCTGGTTAATTATCAAAAGTGATAACATTATTACTGTATGAGACTTCTTCTTCATTATCACTATATGAGATCTCTTCTTCATTATTACATATATGTATATTATAATAATAATAATTGTAATTAGATATCTCTATCATTTCATTTTCAATATCTCCTTGAAAGTATATATACTCATTTATAAGATCTCCTAACATTTCTCGTGAAAAGAAAATATCATGTTTCTATTTCGAGCAAAGTATTTATTATATATCATTGATAATGAAACAAAATCTTTATAAACACAGGAAATAACATCATTAAGACAAGATTTTAAAATCTTTCCTTTATACCATACTGATAGAGTATTATTAAAATGAGAAACCCAATTATTAAGTCAAAATGTATATAAATTACAGATAGCTCGAAACCCTTCAGAGCGCCAGACATGATTGACTGTAATAATCTTAAATAGATCCTCATCTTTAGAAAGATGGCTAAATATATTTTCCAAAATTTCTGGTACTAATAAAGCGTGTGTTGCAGGAGAAATAGCGTTAATATTCATAATTATTTTTCTGATTATCTATTAATATAACAACTAAATAAAAAGTTCTAGTTAATAAAATCTCAAATAGATAATTCCTAATACCTAGCCCACACACCCTGTAACCGATCACTTTTTCCTCCCAAATCCCCATGTGCGTCTTACAAACCACATAACCGCAATAATTAATAGAGTAAGAAAAATATATGCCACAATAGGGATTGCCCCTCTCCCGGGACCAGGTCCCATCTGGGTATTCGATTCAATCAAAGAGGGGGTATTCGGTATTTCTTGGAGTATATTGTTGTTAGTTTTGCTAATATCGATTTCATCACTTACCTTGGGAATAATCTCAGTATCTACACTTGGAGATGAGTCATAGCCTCGAATTACTGATTCCTCAGGTATAGAAGTACTTTTATTATCAGTGTGGTCCAGTATATCAATATTGATTTTTCCAGCTCGATCCATACTTTTTTCACGTATAAAATATTGACTGAGATCTCTACTAGGTATATCAGATGCAATAGCGTCATCACTCCGTGAGACAGAATTCGGTATTTTTTTTTCATCTGCCTCACCACCGATCTTGATTGGTTCTGACAATAACTTAGATTCTAAGGAGTGTATCTCTGAAGTTTTCAAGGCCAGATCATCTTTCATTTGTTTCAATTCGTCATCTTTCGAAGCCAATGAGTAGGTAACAATATATATATATTGTTACCTACTTATGTTAGACTGTTACCTACCTATGTGGCCTAATTTGATTTTTTGGCCCCCTTCGAAAGCGGCCAATTTTTGTTTTTTGGCCACCTTCGAGAGCGGCCATTTTTCATTTTTAGGCCGCATTTTTGTCTTATTTTAGTTCGATTTTTTATTTACACATCAGATAACGTCTACAGACGTTATGGACTGCTTAATTATCTAACTATCTTTTTTAGCCGTTTTATTGTCTTCAAAGCTTAAAAAGCTATGCGATCTAAAAAATCTAACCAAAATGCAGCCAATTTTTAATTTTTGGCCACCCAGATGGAATCGTGAAATCGGCTACATTCGAGTGCGGCCATTTTTTATTTTTTGGCCACCCAGATGGGTTGATTATCGATTACTGGATCAAAAATTTTGTTTACTTTTGCGTATCATTTTTACGTATCACCATATCAAAAATTTAAAATCTTACTTTTGCGTATCACCGATTTTTATGAGTACAAAATAGTCTATTTCTAGGGTTTTTATTCACGAATATCATGAATATCATTAAGGGGGTTACACGCTATTAAAACAGCAAAAAATCCCTTAAAACCATGAGTTGATCACTTGATTTTAATAGTGTGTGACCCTGTGTGACCCCCTTATGATATTCATGAATACAAACCCTATCTATTTCATAATCAAGTACTAGTAGTCTAATAAATTACTACAAAAACGTATAAATAGAACCTCTATCCCCTACTTTGGACTGAAAAAACTAATTCATAAAATATACATTTCTTATATCTCTATAAACAATACATTTCCCAGGCGAATTGCCAATTTTTTCGATTGCAAGGATGAGGCACGAAGTGCCGAATTGGCAATCTGTATTTTGGCTTTGTACGTTGCATAAGGTTGCCGATCGAGGGTGAGGTACATAGTGCCGAATTGTTATCTCACTTGGTAATACGTAAAAGCACAATTTTCTTACCTTTTTCCTTATATTATATTCTACCTTTGCGTATTACCTTTTTTCTTCGAATTTTTCTTGGTAATACGTAAAAGCACAAATTTTCTTTATCGCTTCCTTATATTATTCTACCTTTGC